ATATATTGTGGGAAAAACAGGAAGCAAAACAGGGGCAACATAATTCCGCTGAATCCCAAGGCACAGTCTTCACCATAGGTTCATTGCCAGGAGGGGTCCTTGAGAACGCCAGCCTTCATTGTGGGGATCTACAAGGAAAGAGCTTTGAAGACAGACCTCCTTCCCGCTTATTTCCCTGTCAAAATATATAAAGGAATTCAAACTAATCAAAAAGCCAAAGTGAGCTGGCTAGTTAACTAAGACAGGCCCAACTTTGAGTTCAGAGCGCTTTCTAATGCTTTCCATGTGCCTATCCAAAGAATAAAGTTTCCAGGATATGTTGACTGCAAGGAAGCCTTGCTCCTAAAGAGAAGGATCATATGGTTGCCGAAATAGCATATCCTGGAAGTTTAGCTCAACACTGAAAGCTATGGCCATGTGTAAGAAATTACTCCATGCCTAAGATGATGAGTTTCTTTTTCTTAAGCTGTTTAATCATCATGAGAAAAGTAGTCAACAGGCATGTGAGGACATGAGGCAGTCAGCCCTTGAGGTTTCCGAAGCTCTTTACAATCTCACCCATCCAAATTTAGAAACCAGTGGTTCCTCTTCACCCTAGCAAGGTGGATATTTCATTGTCCTATATTCCTCCTCTCCCCCACCACACACATGTTCCTCCCCAACAGACATCTGCTATGATCATTCCTGTTTCACCCATGAGGCTGCCCTCTCTGAAATGGTCTGTGCCCTCTCACCATCTCTCCAAATGCTTTAAGACCCAATTCAAGTTCCTTTCTTCACGAAATACTCTCCAATGGTACCAGCCAACACCAAGATTTTCACTTCCTGATCAACCCTTTTCTCTCTCTCACTTACTGTCCAACTAGAGATAGAAAAGGGAACAAGGTGACTTGTACCTGTAATCCTCACACTTTGGGAGGCCAAGGCAGGAGGATCACTTGAGGTCAGTAGTTCAAGACCAGCCTGGGCAACATAGTGAGACCTCATCTCTACAAAAAATTTAAAAACTAGCTGGGCATGGTGGCACATGCCTGTGGTCCCAGCTACTTGAGAGCCTGAAGTAGGAGGATCACTTGAGCCCACGAGGTGGAGGCTGCAGTGAGCTGTGATGGTACCATTGCACTATAGCTTGGATGACAAAGGGAGAAATAAAGAAAGAAAGAGAGAGAGAGAAAGAGAGAAAGAGAGAGGGAGGGAGGGAGGGAGGGAAGGAAAGAAAAAAGATAAAAGAAAAGAAAAGGCGTTGATCTCGAGGGTTAATAGCAACTGCTAGTGTGCCTGGAGTAATAGCTTCAAGATTCCAAAGTTCCTTCCGAGCTGAAAAGTGCCGTGGCTCTTTAGCAATGACAGTGAAAATGGTATGGGAGGAGGGAATGTAGCCCTATGTGTCCAGGATTTGCCAAGCCTAGTCTAAACTATTCTTCTTAGCAGTGGCTTATAATGAAACTTAATTTTCGAATGTCTCCTATTATCCAAATGTATGCAGTTCCATGTTCTTAACGACCATTCAGATTAAATATCCAGATTTTAAAGTGATAGACTGCAGAAAGATGTCATGGAAAGTTACAACTGGTCATTCTTGAGGGGGTCCCTCAAGCTGGGCTTCCATCTTGGGATTGGTCTGATAAGCTATCAAAAGATGATTTCAAGTATGCACCCGGGGTGTTGGATTTCCTAGTATGTTTTCTCATAAATATATATATGGATTTAAATATATATATGGATTTACATATATATGTATATATTATGTATATGTATTTAAATATTATATACTATATATGTATATTATATATAGTATATATGTATTTAAATATTATATACTATATATGTATATTATAGTATATAATACATACTATATATTATTTATATATGTATATACTATATATGTATTTATATACTATATATGTATATTATATAGTATATAATTTAATTTGTATAATATATGGTATATATTATATACTACATATAACATACATATATAGTATATATTATATACTATATATAATATACATATAGTATATAAATACCTATATAGTATATATTATATACTATATATAATATACATATAGTATATAATTAAATACATATATAGTATATATATTTAAATATATATAATATACATATATAGTGTATATATAGTTTATAATACATATATAGTATATATTTAAAGCATAATATATTACTATATATTTAAATATTATATACTAGATATAACATATATAGTATATATAGTATTAAATACTTATATAGTATATATTTAAATAAATATATAAAGTATATAATGTATATACAATATCTATATTTACATATATGTACTCTATATATAGAGTATGTATACACACGTGCAATGTATAGACTAGATTACTAATAATTTGCAAATACAGACATCCTTTATCAGAAACTACACTCCCCAGGGCTACTTCTGCAAGTTTCTACTTCTCCTTCTGAAAAATGGATAAGAAGGAGCATGTGTCCAAGAAGTGTCCCGACGAGCATGAAATCAGAATCTTCCCTCCTTTCTTTCCAGTGCTGAAAAGGTGGCCCCTGGTTAAAAACCGCTCCGCCACTGACTGGAGGAGCTTGTCCTCAGGCAGCTTCTCAGTCTCACTAGGTCTTGGTTTTCCCAGCTGTAGAACGCAAATAGCAATGATACCTGACATGAGGTTGTTGTGTAAAGTGCTTTGTACAGTAAATAGCACCTGGTAAACACAATGTTTGGTTTTCATGATTATTTTCATTTTCTTTCTAGTAGTTTAGAAATACCATTTCCATGATAATGTAACAGCCCTAATGGCCAAAAAAAAAAAGCCCATATTAATTTTTTTAAAACCCATGACTATTATTCAGAAACCAGGAGTTCCAAGAAACACCTCACCTGAGATCTTCTTGGTACAAGCCTTTTCACCTGAGAAGACTAACTGTGTAAAAGACCCTTTTTTCTCTCTTTTTATACACTATCCCTGGGAGTTAGCTTCACTCCTGGATTAACTCTTATTCTCTATTTTCTTTTTTACACCACTTCATCAGATCATATATGCAAATGACTGTGTGTGTGTGAACATGGCAAGTGAAAGCTCACAGGCTCCAGGCTGCTCAGGGAAGCTTTCTGCGAATTCGCCTCCCCTGCACCCCTTCCCCTGCCCGCCCAAGGACCGGAGCCGAAGCCTGGGATTGCCTCCCAAGTGGGATCCTGCCCTTCGCCAAATGCGAGACTGCTGGAGGCGTGGCCTTCTAGATGATTCGTCAGGTCGCCGGGCTCGCCCTCCCCTCCCCCTTGCCCTGGGGACACCCCGTCCGAGTAAAGGGGAGGCCTTTGTGTGAGTGATGTTTCTCAACGATCAAACTAGTGGCGTTGAAACATTTTCCTGAAACACCTGGGTGTAAAAGGTTTTGTTACCTCCTGTTTTTCTTTTAAATAACAAAGGAGTAGCCACACCTACCTTAGTTTCTATTGAATAAAAACGTGAATACCGGTTTGTTTTTGTTTTTAACCTTCAACTCTGAAAACGCACAAAGTTCCCAGGTGGGAAGAGGTAGCTTAGAGCTGTCCGCGGCCGCTCGGGGACGGGAGCCGGCTCCCCTGACGCCAAGCGCCAGAGCCTGCCCCGACCCGCGCCTGCCCCGACCCGCGCCCTCGGCGGCAGTTTCTCCTCCTTTCCCTCCCCCTGGCTTTACGAGCTATCGACTGCCTGCCTGCAGCCAGCAGAGGCCCAGGCCGGGGGAATCCGGACTTTTCTTCCCTCTCCCACGTTTCTTCTTCCTCCACCCTCCCCCGAACGAAACCCCCAAACCTCTAAGTGGTCCAATATTAAAACCGGTGGAACCAAGGCATTCCCAAAATCGGGAGGGGGGAAAGAGGACGACGAGGAAGGCAAAAGGAGGAGGCAAACAGGAATGTCAACATTTATTTTCCTGAAGCGGGGGAAAAGGTTCTCTCTGGGCAGGCAGGCCATCCTCCGGAAGGGAGGAGGAATCCACCGTTTCCTCAGGTAGTACGTTCCAGGGATGCTGGATGCAGGTGGTAAAAATACGCAGCGTTTCAGTGGGATGATGGGAGATGTTTACAGCCCTCCTGGGAAGATGCCAAAGAGTTTAACAGTCCTGGGATACCTCCCAGCTGCCTGCTTTGGTGCTGGATGAGTTTACGCTTCCTTTCCTGATGGAAAAGGTGAAGCAACCAGTGACTTGTCCAGGGTCACACACCACGCTTGGGACAGAAATAACTCTGACGCTTCTTTCCTGGCTCTAACAGCAGACAGCATTGCCCAATGACTGTACCACCATTGCGATCTGAATCATTTAAATTGCTCCTAATTGCAGGCCTGCAGTGCACTGTAACAGCCGTATGACTCTAACTGCCAAGCCGGCCGGCCGAGGTAGGCATGAGTGAAGTTTTGCAAATCTCTGAATATGGAATTAAAATGCTGAGCGGTGGAGGGGGTTAGGACAACCGTGTCTGAAAACCACTTTGAAATTGCTGACAAGTATCCTATTTAAATTTGTTTAAAAGATGAATTGGACACGTCACCTTCAATTTGTCACACTGGAATTAGAGGAACACTTAGTGTTCAAACTGATGCCGTTCAAAAAGGCATCTCAGATATTTCTAAGCAGTCGATGGTCACACTCTTCCTTTTTGTGCCTGCGAAGTTACTGTCTGGTTTTGGTGTTTAAACTTCCCTTTGAACTCCTTTGTGAGTAGATATGGGGAAAGGGGAGGGCCTGGGAAACAACCAGGCATTTGACTTCAGATCTGAACACGGGGCTGGACACGTGCTGTGCTCAGGAAAGAAAGTAAATTCCACCTTGCAAATTGCTCTAACTGATTCATTTGTCTACAAAGAGACGCCTCCTACCTGCTTGCAGGTATTCAGGTAAATGACAGGTGGGCGGGACCTCCTGTTTCAATCCCTAACGTCTCAGCGATGCTTTAGTCGGGGCTTCCGTGATGTCACCCATTTCCTGCTCCGAACTGACCAATGCCGTCCTCCTTCCTCCAGGCACCTGTTCACCGAAGTTGAGGCTGGTCACAGGTTGGGCAGCCCAAGGAGCTGCTCGGTTCACCCATAAGGGATGAGAGCTGCCTGCCCGCTGCTGCTTGGAGAGCCTCAGACAGACGCTTGAAGAGGTGAGTTGATACCCTCCATTTTTCTCTCTTGGCATTTAGACCACTGGCCCCTGAGGGCTCTGATCAAGGAATCTGAATGAAAAAACACAAGCTGAATGGCTTGTTTGTGGTGTTTGTGGTGTTTGCCCTAGAGGGAGAAGCTTTTTTCGAGAGATGCTTTTGACATTCTAGTTGCACAGTAAAGTTCTCCCAGGCCAGATATTTAATTCTTTTTGTTTCTCTGATCGTTAATCCAGCCTCTGCTTGTCCTCGTACTTGATCTGATTAAAACAACAGCAATAACAACCTAGAGAGAAGTAGAGTGAAGGCTTTTTTTTGAAACTTAGCTCGAAGGCACAGACCTGTTCAACCCATTTAATGGGGGCTAGGAGGCCAGTGCAGACTGGATTCAGAGTTCTTGCTTTTGCCTTTCCTCCTCCCCCGTATTTTGCCTTACTTTCTGCATTCATCTCATCAGAGGTGATTTCGATCTAAACCTGTGAGGCATCCCTAGATTTTTTTTTTTTTCTTTCTCCCCGAAAACCTGTTCCTCAGGGCAAATTCTGTTCCTCCGTTCAGTAGCTGTCGGTTCCCGTTTTCCTCTCTTCTCTGAAAAAGTCTACCATTTTCTTTGCTCTTTGTTGAACACCCTTTTAAATACGACTTTGCAGTCTGCACTCAAATTTGTTTACATTCAGACGCGGACTGGCTGCCTGCTGACCTTTGGTTACAGTAAGGATTAATTCCCACATTGCCACAAGAATGTGACCTTGGGTCTGATTTTTAATTTTCTGGACCTCTTTGGCTTTTTCTCTTTTTCTTTTAATAGCAAATATGCCAAAGAAGTTGTCCTGCCAGGACCTGGCTTTTAAAGTAATTTTACCTGTAGGATCCGTTTTTGTTTTCTTAATTCTAATCACACAGCCTGTTCCACTTGTGTTCTTGACTGCCCACTAGTCTACTCTTTCCCCAATACTGTTGTCAGAGAACGGAAACCATTTTTAAGCCCAATTCCCTGGTGGGATGAGCTGGAAAAACTGGAAAAAGAAATAAATCTGTGAGGCACTTCATTCTAGACTTCATTATCAGCTGTTTTTTGAGATTTAAGTTAGCAAATATGTTTACAAGTGAATAATCTGGAATTATGCTCCTGTTCATCCACCTAGAAATACAAAGTGCATGTAAATTCTCCAAAGGTATAAACTGAAACAAGCTGAGATCATTTTTGCCTTAGACAGTTGCTTCTCACCACTGAGAATCTGCCACTTCTTGTTGCCAATTTCTGTCTTACTGTTTGGAGGCTCGTATTGTTCTCCGTTAACTGACCTTTGTCTGTTACTTTCCCAGAGCTTGTGAGTTTGAGGAGTAGGGGTTGGCTACCACTTGTCCCTTGCTAAGGTTCTCACTTGATTCAGAGCTTGGGTCTTCTGGATAAAAAGTGCATCTAAACCTCTCCTCAAGATTGCATTGCCTGTGGTTTACCATGGTTGATTAGCTCTTTTCACACTAGTTAGTATATGATTAAATAAATCATTTCATCACTGTATGTCAGTCTGAGTATTAAAGAAAAAAAGCTGTAGACACTGGACCCCCAGGTAGAAGAAAGAAGTGACAGAGACTGGAATTCAGAGTCAGATTGTTTAGAATGCAGTTGGTCTGCTGGGTAATTTACACAAGTCCTGTCCAGAGTTCCTGTAGTAACTCCACCCATTGGTTCAAGTGGACATGGGCCTGATGGAAAAATGTGCAATCTCCTTCATCTACGTCCTTGAGCAAGTTACTTCTCTGACCCTCGGTTTCTTCATCGGTAAGATGTGAGATAATAATCCCCATGATCTAATGTGGTTATGAGAAGTTAATGAGGTAGCTAATGTATGTTAGCATCCAGTGCCCAATGCCTGGTGCTAACTGGTGCCAAAGTGAGGCTAGGTCTTTCTTTTGGAAGGAATTTTCCTAGGTTGCTTGAAGGAGAGAGTCTGACCTTATCAAGATAAAGATCTTGGGTGGTTGCAATTGTTAGGAACCTTGATAGTTCTTGTTATTGTAATTAACTGTAGGTAATTAACTTCAATGCTAACAGTTTAGAAAAAGAAAACAGGCAGGAGAATGCCTAAACGATGTCATGAAACAAGTTGGGCAGATTTGTGTCTGCTAGCCTCCCAGGCAAAGCTTTTAGGAGTTGCTGGCTGTGATTTCTTCCTTTTTCCACCCTAAGGTTATCATCTTGCAACAGACCCACAAAATGTGATTTTTTTTTTTCCATGGGCCTTTCGGGGAAGTGTCCTGTTGTCGTTGCTGTCATCTGACTTGGCAGGGAGTTCTTTCTGCTGTCCATCGTGCTATCTCCAGGACAGACTGGGGTGTTTGGTCTCCTCTAGTCTCACGGATAAACAACCTTCTCCCTGATCAGAGTGAGGGTTCATGCCATGTCGCTGGCAGGAGGAAGCTCCTGGTTTGGAGCCTGCATTGTACCATGGAAGGGAGGCCTGTGACCCATGGGATGTGATTGGCCCTGTCATGGAATGCCCTGTGCCCTTGGATGACCTTGAGTCATTGCATAAGAGCACTGTGTGCCCAGGGCCCTGGTCGCTTCTCTGTGTCTCACCCTTCAGGGATAACACAAATTTTTTACCATTCAAGAGTAAGGGATTAGTGGATTGAGGTCAGTGGGTTCTACTGACTAGCTTGCCTTCGGGACCCTAGGGGAGAACCCCAACTTCCCTGCCTGTCAGTTTCCTTAGCTATGTTTTTTCCCCAAAGGATGCTACAATGGTGTACTTCACAGGGCCTCTCAGTCCTTACAAGTGAAGCGAGGTGGGCTGCATGCCTACGTGCATGGGTCAGACTGACCGGGCAGACTGGGTATGACGTCACTAGAAAATGTCAGTCTTATCCATTCTAGGTGGGACAGTGCTATTGCTTTAGAATAGTGGTCTGGTCTCTGGCATCAGGCTACCTATGTGGGTTTTCAAACCCCAGATCTACCAATGTGCTACCTGTGTGACTCGGGACAGACTCTTTAACCTGCTTTCATCAGCTGTGTAATACAGTTATCATGAAGATGAAATGGGTTGAAATGTGTAAAGTGCTTGGAATGGTACCTGCCACAGTGTTAGCTGTTACTAGTATTATTTTCTTGAAAGGAAGTCATAGTTGGTAGAGTCAGACAGGTCTGTGTATCAGACCCAGTTCTACCATGTAATTGCTAGCCTAAATAAGTTACTTAATATTTCTTTGCTTCGGTTTCATCATCTGGGAAATGAAATGCTTTTCAGACTCAGTGCTGTTGGGAGGAATAACTGAAGTAATTACATGGAAAGTGCCTGGCATATTGTAAATGTTCAGTGAGTGTTAACTATTGTTATAGTATTTTAAAAAGTGTTATGTTGGTTACAGTTAGACTTCCTAGATCCTGCTACTATCTAGATATAATAATGATGGAAACAGGAGTAAGTTGAGGGCCAAAGACTGAGCAAAAATGATTTCCTGAAAGGCTCCCAAAGGCAGAGGAGGAAAACCTGTTAACAAAGATTGCGTTGTTTCTCTTGGAGTTCTAGGGTAGGGGGGCTGCCGATGGAAATGCCTGGTCTTTCGTAAACCTGTGGGCAGTGGGCTTCAGTGATGTGAGTAAATAGTGGGTCTTCCTGGAGCAGTGATTTCCTGGCTTCACTTGTCACTGCTCCTTGTCTCTATGATCTGGGCTATGACCTCCTTTCTGTATTTGAATTCCTCACTTAAAATGGAGAAAATAGGATCCAGTGGGATCCCGACTACTTTTTATTCCTTTCATCCTATTGACCAGGATATAATCTTGACTACTCGAAAGGCCATCTGTGAGATGCTGGCGAGGACAGATAAGAGATGCTCTGAAGTGTGTCTTCCTCATTGCCTCAGTATTCATGGACTTCCCCATAGCATATAACTACACCTGATAGTTATGTACTGACATTACATAGACTCACTTTTATGTGGTTGGCAAATTTATTGCCCTCTGACAGTGCCTCCAAAGTATCAAAAGCTTTTCAAAACTCTTTGGAAGGAAGGCTGTAACACTGTTCCTGGGTTCATAGGATTCAACCATCAACTATTCCCAAAGAATAGGGTTGACATGAAAACGACAGAAAAAACCATAAAATGTGGAATACGACACTGAGCTGAAATCAGGAAGGAAAATGACAGTTGTCTGCCGTAAACTTTTTATGTTTACCGTGTCTCCATTTTCTTCTGTGTGACATGAGGAAACCACAGTGACCCGTTTGGTTAGTTACACAGAGCCACACTTCAGATCAGTAAGAGGAAGAACTTCCTATGAATTAGAGTTGTACAAAAATGTAGTAGGTTGCCTTTTGAGGTACTGAGTTCCTTGTCACTAAAGATGATCATTTTGGGGGCATATTTAGCGCATGGTGTATATCTGCTGGATAAGTGGATGAGTTCATAAATGAATGACAGAGGATTTGTGTTTTTCAGCTGCACATACACTCATCTATAAAGTGTACACTCATCTTAATGTTCTCATAGGATTATTTTAGATTAAATGAAAAAACATATTGAATACCCAATACAGTATCTTGCATATCACAAACTGCTTGTTAAATACTAACAATCATTCTTTATTTTATATTCTAAAAAGAATTTCTGCCTCAGGTAGAAGGTAGACAAGATGATCCTCCAATCTGAGATTTGCAGTTTTTATAATCATCTGTTTACTCCTCTTCTCTTCGCCTCTGCCGTTCTTCCTCTACCCATCTGAAAGAACTTCTCTCTGCTCTAGAAAGCCAAGTTCCTTGACATGGTAAGTCCACTAGTACACTTCTAACAGTGGGGACAAGTTCTGTCTCAATTAACCAGGGACATTTTTGGTAACGTCACTAATTCGTGACTTGGAATGTGTGGACTTAGACTCCACCATGTTTTTCAAGTGACACTTATTTGCTGCTTGTGTTTGATGCATTTGTCACAGACACACAAAAGACTTCACCAGCAGCAGTCAAAACTCTCCAAGAATTTTCTTTAATAGC